ATAGAAGCTCTTTTACTGTATTTTCTGATACTTAGAGATAAATTTGATTTTAAAAAACCGATGTCTTGTACCTATAATTTTGAAATCATTGCTTATAGGACTTTTTTGTTGTTGCTATAACTTTCTTTTGATTGAATTCCTTGGATACTTTTAGCTATTTAACCATATTTGTTACCAAAAAAAATATGTTTTTATTTCTTCCAGCTTCTCCCTTTATTTAGACCATATAAATACAAACTTCTTGTCCAAGATTTCAAATGTTGCTGCTATTGCTTTTGTTATAGTTGTTATTATTATAGTTTTCTAGACTCATACATCCTTTCCCGCTTCTCTGAACATAATTATGTTTTCCTTAATGCTTTTTTCCTTGAACATCTTAATCAGGAATAAACGTTAAATTTTACTGATAACCTTCTAACATCTTTTGAAATAATTATTTAATCATTTTTCTAGTGAATGTTAGTGGTTAGTTTCTGTATAATATACTGTCCTTGAATTCTACTATTTGATGATACATTAACAAATATATATATATTTGTTTATTTTATTAAATTCTATCAAAACTGTATTTGTTTCATAAAATAGGCAGAGCAATATAAAAGTTTTTTCTATCTTCTAGTACAGTTGAAATAATATAAGGGTGTTCTTTGAGTTCTAATTGTTGGCAATTTTATCTGCTCCTCAGTGCTCTGAGCAGGCTGATGGTTGAAAGCTTATAGACATAGGGCCCATGGACAGTACAGCATTTGGTTGTTTTTCATGCTACCCAGGGCCAAAGATCTGAGAAAATGTTTTGAGTATCTCTTATTTCCTATTTCCCCCATTCTTTAATCCCTAAAATAAATGTGGGATCAGGGATCAGAGACAGAGTTGACCCACGGCTTCACCTAATGAAGTGCCCCAGAGGTGTGGGGGAGGGGCTGCGCTCAAAATCTAGAAAGGATATTCCATGAAACCAGCACCAAATGATCTAACCATTTGCCCTATGTCATGTTGCATTCTTAGCATTATGAGTATTTAGCTTGTTGTCTGTCTCTGATGAATCTTGATATTTACTATTCTGCAGGGAAAAAGGAAAAGGCATGGAAAACCTGTCTGCCTGGGTCAGAGGTTGGCCTTAGTTTTACACTACATCCCATAGTAAGAGTCTCTCATCTTCTCAGTAATGGCCTCTAAGATGGTTGATTCTTAACCCCCTACCCCATCATTAAGGGCATGCCCTCTCCCCTTCTCGGGTTCTAATCACTTGGATCTACCCAACCTCTACTGGTCAGATGTTCACTGTCCACACATTCCTGGCTCCCTTCGTAGCTTCCCCAGCTCATTAAACCACTGCGCTCATCAGGCTGCCTCCACGCCCACAGGTTTTCTGCTCACATCACTGCCAATGAGTATGGATGGCATGTTGGTTAAGGGAGCTGGTCTCGGGTTTGAATCCTGATTCAGATGCTTACCGTCTTTGAGACTGAGCGCATAATTTTGCCTTTCCAAGCCCTAATTTTCTCATCTGAAAATTAAAGAAAATCAATAGTCTCCATCTCACTGGATTAAGAGGATTTTTTTCATCATCCAACCAATATTTATTAATTGCCCAATACATGTCAGGCATCATTTTTTTAGGTGATAAATAAAGGTGGTGAAGAGAAAAGTACTTCTGTGTACATGGAAATAATTCTGGAGGAGTCAGACAAACATTTTTGCTTTTGTATAAGCAAAAAACTATATATGTGTGTGTGTGAATTATATATTTTTATACACTACCTATATCCAACTATCTATGTAAATTTGAGGTAGATAATGTTCATGAATGAAAACAGAGAGAATGGGGAAAGAGGTGCCAAAAGGGTTAATTTATTTGCTGTGGTCTGTGAGGACCTTGTGAAGAGGTATTGTTTAAGGGGCAATCTGTAGAAAGTGAGGCAGCCAGTCATGTGAAGAGCTAGAGAAAACGATTCCTGGCAGAGGGACCATCAAAAACAAAGGCCCTGAGGCGGGATTAAATGAGACTATACAACTAAAAGTGTGACGTACTTATAGCACAGAGAAGCTGCAGGTAATTCTCCTGCAAGTTCTGTCACAATAATCACCATCACCACCACTGCTAACGCTGTAATAAGGGGGCCAAGCGCCGACGCCTGACCGGCATCCCAAGATCCTGGCACAGGGCTGTAAGCTTGTGGTCTTCCTCTCTCCTGTTGTTAGGGACTGCTGGGAAAATGCACACCCGCCCGTCCACCCCTCCATCCCCAGCACAGAAGCATCCCTCCTTACCGCCCTTCACACCTTGTCCGAGAAGATTTCTGATGTCTGCTGCTGCGGCTCCGTCACTCTGCGGTGTCCGACTATTTGTGACCCCATGGACTGTAGCCCACTAGACTCCTCTGTCCATGGGATTCTCCAGGCAGGAATACTGGAGTGGGTTGCCATGCCCTCCTCCAGCGGATTTTCCTGACCCTCTGTCTCCTGCCCCGACAGGGAGATTCTTTACCACTGGGCCACCTGGGAAGCCTCCAATGTCCGCTACTTAGATGAATTTCAAGGATTGCATCTACTTCTCCCGCCATTCTTTCCCCCTCCAAAGACGGCAACTAGAACAGTATAGGCTGTTCATTGGTGTTGACGATCAGGACCCTTCAGCCCACCATCGCCTCCCCGCCATCCTGACCCTGCTGCTCATATTAAGAGTGGCTTGCTTGTGGTCTGGTATGGAAAAAGCAGACGTGGCCCTCAGGGTTCGGGCCTATCGATTCATGGACTCTTGTCCTAGAAAAGCCTTGACGGTTCTTGGGGTGTGTTCAGCTGTGTGGAAGGACGGCCCCACTATATGCTCTTCTGGATCGTTTTTGCAACCTAGCCTCTTCCTTTCCCTCTTGCTGCACTGACATCATCTGTTCCCAGGTTGCTTCCCTCTGATCCTTACTGCCTGCCCTCCCTACTGCCGCCTCTACAAGCCAAATCTTGCCGCAGCACACACTTCAACACCACAGTTTGGGAGGGAGGCAAGTGGTAAGTATAAACATCAAACTTGTGGAAGGGACTTCTTTCATAAAGAAATGCAACTTTATTGTTTTCAAGTACATACATAGTGCCTCAAACTAATGTCTTACAAAAGGTCACCAAGTAAAGGTCTTGCAGATGTTTCTTTAACAAACACAGCAGATGATAATTAGCCCATGCATTCACTATTTCTAAATGGATATTCCTAAAGTGTCCAAAAAGTGTTATTTTAGGAGACTACATGTGCCACCCCTAGCAATATTGTTTATGTTCTTAATTTGCTAAACAAATGCCATTTTATTGATTGTGCAAGATAAACCTTTGTCCATGGCCAATAAATCTCAAATCCATCAGGCCCAAATTAATACGGTTTCCTGTTTTGTTTTCTAAGCCCCAGGCAATGACTCGTTATTTCAAGGTACTTTGGATAAACTAAAATTCCAGTGTAATGGAGTAATAGCCCTTGGGAGGTTGTCTATGGGCCTGGTGTTTATCTTCTGTGCTTCCTTCCTTTCTGCCTTAGGTCTTCCATTTTCCTTAGGCGTCTCTCTCACACTCTTGGTTCACCTAGGTGTCTTTCTACAGGATATTCCCAATGCCTTCTAATCTAAGCCAGGCTGAGCGAATGGGCAGTGCTGCCAACAGCGCAGAGGGGAGGTGGGAGGAGGTTGAGGAGGAAAAGCATCTTCCTGTAGGGACCTGAAGCCAACTCCCTGTCTCAAGGGAGAGTGGGCACAGTGATCACAGCGTGAAGGGCATTTGCCTGGGCAGAACAGCCCTGCCGTCTGAGAGACCAAGGCAGGACTCCTAATGCTTTCTCTCTCTTGTCCAGAGGTTCTGACCACATCCATGACCTAAGCTCATTCTGTGTGTCCCTGGAAGACAGGACGTTTCTGGAAACTTCTGCACCCCGATTCCAGCTCATGGCCTGGGACCTTCTTTTCCAGGACTGGTGCAGGTTCATCTGGGTGGCATGATGGGGAGGTGGGGAGGGGCAGGAAGTGCGCTGGCAGCGCCCCCTCTCAGCACCGCATGGAGCTTCTGAGGCCTTGGCATTCTAAAGGCCAGGGTATGACCAAGGATGCTGACAGAGAGAGCTGGAGCTTCCGTGACACCCGGGCCTTGGGGACCAGCAGACCACAGAGCAAGTGTCTGTGGGGACTGCCACAGGCCCCGTGAGTGTGCAGCCTCAGTGACGCTCCCCAGATCGCTTCCTGGCCCTGCCTCTGCCCCCCTCCGTGACCCTGGAATTTGGTCTGCTGGCGGGGCACTCTAAAGGGCAGGACTCAGAGCTGGAGCCCAGGCTGTGTCAGATGTCCTCTCACTGACCTCTCTCCTTTCCCGCCCACCTCCTCCACCATACCCAACCCTCCCACCTGTCCGAGCAGCTCTCCTCTGGCGTTTCCTACATGGCCTTGACTGGCAGACAGGCCAGCATCTCCAACCTGTTCCCTTTCTGGCCTCAGGTCCTAGCACTCACCAGGTGGTTTCCAGGTCTGAAGGGGAAGCAGGGGTCAGAGTTGAGCGGGAAGCAAATGAGGGGTAAAGGTGGAAGGTAGAAGGTAAAGGTTGAAGTGGGGTGAGGCTGGGGAGATAAAGGGACCTTGGTGATCGGAGACAACTCCCCTCCTCCTGGTTTAGACAGACCCCTGTCTTTTGGTGTTGATCTGTTCTAGTGGGAGGTGGGGGTGAAGGGGCAGGGACTGTGGAGGGCTGGGGTACTCCTTAGTTCCTTGGCTAAGACAGACAGCATGTGGAATGGAGCAAGATCTGGGGAGGGGATCTTGACATACAGTGTCTAAGCTGACTGCTCTGAGTTAGGCCTCTGGGGCAATCACCCCAAGCTAAGTTACCCTCTCCCCCACCTTGGCCTGCTGAGCTGCCTCATTCTCTCGCCCTCCCCCCAATACACCCCAGTGTTTTCCACCCCTACCCAATGCCATCCTGGTGACACCTCCAGGGCCCCCCATCTTCTCTGTGCCTGCTTCTTCTTTCCGACGGGCTCAGTAGTAGGTCTCCTTCTCCACCCAGCCTGTTAGAGAGATGAGGGGTGGGAGCTGCAGCATGGACTTAAAAACAGGCTCTTAGCACAGGGGACGGTGGGCCCAGACTGAGATGGGGGTGAAAACAGAAATGCCAACGGGGACTGTTCAAGTAATAAAAGAGTTTCTTAAGGGCAGCCGTCCATGGCTGCTGTGCACAAGTGGGGCCTGGGGTCAACAGCACCTGTGATTTTTCAGGAGAAGTCAGAAATTCAGATTTTATGTGAAAGCCCCTACGTTTTAGATATTAGGCCAGATGAAAAATAAACAAACAAAAAAACACCCGCACCATATAGGGCAGCCAAACCAAACAATATCCACGGACCATATTTGGCATGTAGGCCATCCGTTTTCGACCTCCAGTAAGCGATCAAAAGTGCTTGTTGGGGTAAAAAAAACACTTGGTTGATGATGGGACTTGGGAGGCCTGCGCTGCAGTGCCAGTTCTGCTGCTCCTCCCTTCTAGACCCTGAACGAATCAATTCACCTCTGCCCCTCTCTTTGTCTGTAAAACGTGGAGGTGGGACTAGATGACCTCGGAGGGCCCTTCTAGTTCCGATGTTCTGTGATTCCTGGCGGAAGGTGGAGGGCCTCAGAGACCAGCTGTGTGTTAGGTGGGACCGGAATCTGAGGGGAAGAGGTTCCGCGGAGCCACGGTTCCAAGGCCCAGGGATCCCAGGATGGAGGGCCCGGAGGGAAAGGCGCAAGGATTCGTAAGAGGGATGGAGTCCGCGTTCAGAGCCCTGGAGGGGTAGGTAGCCGGCAGTGAGGGGCTGCACTTTGGGGGGGCCGGGGTGAGGCACGGGAGTGCTTACCACCGGGATATCGCCGCAGGATCAGCTTCCGGACCTCATCGTAGATGAAGATAAGGAGACTATAGGGGAAGGCGCAGAACCACCAAGTGACCCTGAAGGAAACAGAAGTGTCAGGAGCATCAGAAGTTGCTTCCAAGGGTCCAGAACTTGGCTCCTAGCAGGGGGCCCTCCCGAGGGGACACTCACTTGAGCGGGTACATTCGGAGAGCCACACCCATGCCCGGGCAGTAAGACAGAAAGGCGGCCAGTGCGGTCTCCTCCAGGAGCCCAAAAATCAGAATCTTGTTCCTGGAAAGGCAAAGAAGTGAGGGTAAATAGGGTTTGAGGGGAGGGCGAGAAGGGGCGGGGAGCGGGGGGAGCAGAGATCCAGGGTGACCCTTGGTGGTGGACGGGAGAGAGGCGGGAAGAAATGCCAAGGAAAGGCTACAAACGATGTCTTCCCATGCCTGCTTCAAACGCCCTCTTCTCATGCTAAATGTAACCAAAGAGAGATTGTACTTTTTCTTCTTACTGGTTTCACCACCGATTGTTGTCTACAACACATACGTTCATTCATTGAAGAAATGTTTCCTATGTGTTGGGTGATACCCAGCCTACACAGACCTGTGCTGGAGAAGCTTCCTTCTGGAGAATGGGGGCCTGCCCTCAGGCATCTTATAATCTTGTTAGTGCTCCAGGCACCTGGCCTTTGAAAGTGTTGTCTCCCCAGCAAGATGCTTTGGAAACGCCTTCAGTTCAGGACCCATGGATGTCTAAGGTTTTCAGGGTCTTCTGCAGGCCCTGGTAGCTGCTGGCCGTAGATACTCGATAAAGAATGGTTGTGTTCTCTGCTTGCTGTGCCCTGCACAGTAAGGACTCTCCGCTCCTTGCTCTCTCCTCCCTGCCTTGTCCCTTTTAGTGATTTTACCTCCGTGGAATCTTTTTCTCTTGTGCTACCTTTGTTTATCTAACAAACATTTCCCCTTCTTCTCCCTAGGATCTTAATGCTATTAACTTCACCTGAGTTTTGGCATCTTTTTTTTTTTCTTCTTAAAGTAAGAAATTGTGACAAAACTCACGGGAATTGTGCCCACTGTTTGCAGTAGTAGAAAAGAAAGAAAATGGGAGTGATACCTTCAGCACTGATCACCATCCAGGCTGGAATTGCAGAGGAAATCCCTGAGTCCCCCCGCCCAGATTCCAGGCTCTGTGATGGGTGAGCCACCCAGTGTAACAGCTGCGGACTCAGCCATTCCCAGCTGGGAGACCTCAGGCATGTCAGAGCATGTATGTGAATCACTTAGCACAGTGATTGGCACCTGTCACTCACACTAGTAGAAGGCCCTGAACTTGACTCCGAGTAACTCTCTGCCCTGCAAGGATACCACCACCATCACAAGGCAAGTGCTAGAAACTGGAGCCACCTGCCAAGTGGAGATCCTGTATTTAGGGCTGGCCCAAGGGTGAGGATGGGTGAGGATTAACATATAAGATGGAAGGAATGCAGAGAAGAGGTATGGGGAGAAGATGAAAAGGAAGATGGAAGACCATAGTGAAGGAGATTTTAGAAGCAAATTGAAACTCATCAAGAATATTCATAGCCCTCCTTCCTCTTCTCTCATCTATTTCCAACAATGCTACGGATATACAGCTGGGCAGCTGCAGTCTGAGACTCCAGCAGATCTGGGCCTGTGTGGGTGGGTGAGTGCACCCCAAGTGTGCTCTGCCCGGTGAGCGGGGCTGGTGGGCGGGGCCAATGGGTGGTGGGCGGCACTCACTTCATGCCCTGCTGGAAGACTGAGTTGCGGCGGGTCTTGCAGATGATGAGGTCAGCCCATTGCACGACCACAATGCTGGCAAAGAAGGCCGTATGGCACGTGAACTCCACCACTTTCCGCTGTTCATAGGTCTGGGGGAGAGCAGGCAAAGAGAGAGATGAGAGAGTGAGAGGAAAGGGGAGGGCCAGAGTTCATTGTGCTCCAGGGCAGATGTTAAACCCTGGGCACCTACACCACCCTTAGCCTCCAGCCCCACTGGCCGCGACTGACCACTCCTGCCAGGCGTTCAGCCTCACCGTTATACGCATGCATCTGCACTTACACAGCCCACTCACCCACTCCTGTCCGTAGCTATCCTCCAGGTCATTCATGGACCGGTCATCCCAGTCCAGGCGGATTCCCAGAAGCCGTGAAGGCAGAAAACCATTCTCTGCCAGGATCACGAAGTAGGTGAAGAAGCCACCCAGAGCCTGGATCATCCCTGTGGGTGGGCAAAGGACAAAGGGTAGGGCCTGGGTCAGAGCAGGTAGCAGGGTGGAGCCAGCCCCTATGGGCCAGAGATGGACATCCCTGACCCTTGGGAGGTGGCCCCTGTTATGGAATTTTGCAGGGGGATCATCCCTTCAAAAGCCAGGAAAGGCATCCTCTTGGGGTTCCCTCCTGAACCCGGGGTCTGGCCGCACCGATCTGTCCATAGGCCATGCTGATGAGCCTCTCGTTCACCAGCTTGTCCGTTTGCGGGTTTCTCGGCTGCCGTTTCATGATGTCACTCTCAGCTGCCTCGTAGGCCAAGGAGATGGCAGGGACCTGTGCGAGGGGGCCGTGGTGGGGGGGGCGTTTGAAGGGAGAGGGTGGGAGCAGAGGATGACCAGCAGTGAAGAATCTTTGACACAATTCAAACACTTACTAAGTTCCCCAAACCCTCTCCCCCTGCAGGCCTGTGCTCGTCTTCTCTGCAACGCTCACAGCCTGCTTGGGTGCCCCTGCTGCACCTCTTCCTCCCTCTGCTGCCTATCCCTCCCCACTGCACCCCCACAACCTCCTTCAACCCCTGGCCTCACCATGTCAGTGCCCAGGTCAATGCAGAGGATGGTCACGGTGCCCAGAGGCAGGGGGATGTTGGCGATGATGAACAGCAGGAAAGGGGTGATCTCAGGGATGTTGCTGGTCAGGGTGTAGGCGATGGATTTCTTCAGGTTGTCAAAGATCAGGCGGCCTGTGGGGAGGTCCTGAGGGCATCAGGGAGACCGGAGGGACCCTCCCCACCCCTGGCTCCTGAAAGCATGGCTGCCCGTCTTCCCAGTAGGGAGAGATTTTGTATTGGAGCTAAATCAGAAGGTGGATGCCTGAAACCCTGAGTTGAGTCTGTAATTGAGGTAAAAGGCAGGGACGCAGCTGTGCCAGCTCGGACATCCGGGGTGCCACCCCAGCCTGTTGCAGTTCCTCACCCTCCTCCACGCCGGTGACGATGGAGGCAAAGTTGTCATCCAGCAGGATCATGTCGGCGGCCTGCTTAGACACGTCGGAGCCGGCGATGCCCATGGCGATGCCGATGTCCGCCTTCTTCAGCGCCGGGGAGTCGTTCACCCCATCCCCCGTCACCGCCACAATGGCTCCCTGCGGAGAGGGTACAGCCAGAGCTGTGGGTACAGCCCCTGCACACGCCCGGCCCTGCCCCTGCGCCTTCCCCCCATGCTCACCTGCCTCTGGCAGCCCTCCACGATGATGAGCTTCTGCTGAGGAGACGTCCGGGCAAAGACGATCTCCGTGTGATTCTTGAGGATCTCGTCCAGCTGCTCCGACGTCATGTCCTTCAGGTCAGAGCCGTGCACCACACACGCCTTGGCTTCTCTGGAGGCAGGGGCAGAGCCAACTGATGCCCTGGAGCCGGGCACCCCTGCCCCTCCTCATGCTGCAGGGGCTCCCCCACAGCTTCAGTCCTCCTCTCCTCCTAGAGCCCAATGCCCTGCCTTTCCCACTTGTCTCTTAGAGGGGATGACGCACAGTCCTCCCCGTATGGCATCATCATGGTCATCAGCACAGCGTGCGAGGCCACGAGCTAGTTCTTCTACCCGTATCTCGCTCCCAGAGCATGCTGGCAGCGTAGAGACCACCCTCATCTTGTAGTTGAGGCAACGGAGGCTCAGGAAGGGAAAGTGCCGTCTTCAAGTTACACAGCACAGCCTGGCTACCCACTCAGGACCGGGGAACCAGAGGTTAGGACCAGATAGCCCGGGCTGCCTGAGCGTCCTGTGGGAGAGGCTGAGCTGATGGCGAGGGGCCCTGCAGAGCCTCACCTGGGGTTGACTTGGCTAACGGGAATGTTGAGCCGGGCGGCGATGTCCTCCACTGTCTCGTTGCCCTCTGAGATGATGCCCACGCCCTTGGCAATGGCCTTCGCTGTGATGGGGTGGTCACCGGTCACCATGATCACCTGGCAGGAGGAAGAAAAGAAAACAGGAAAGCAGCATTAAGGTTTTTTTCTCCTTTTATTCCTTCCCCGGCTGGAAGTAGGACCAGTGGATAGTGGATAGTGGGACTGGACAGTGGGACCAAAATGACTGAATTGTGTGTGTTTGGGAGGGAAGAGGAGAGGGAGAGATGGTAGGTTGTGTCCAGGAGATACAGAGAAAGTTTGCCTAAGTGGAGGAAAGCCTCTCTGATTGAGTCACAAGTTAATGAGGGTCCCCTAGAAGAGGAGCCTCTAGGATTGTTTGGATTTCATGGGATACGTGGTTGTCAGAGTTGGAAAGACTCTTAACAGCTCCTTCACTTCACTGATGAGGAAATAAAGGCTTCGGCTGTTTGTTTTAACCCCTTTGGTTGCACTGCTGCAAGTCCCAGGAGCCAGGATGGACATGGCTTTCTTAGTGCTCAATGTGAGGGCTGCTGGCATCCTGACTGGACTGGGCAGGGATGGGAGGGGGCACCACCTCTGTCCCTCCCTCTGCCTTCCATCTCATGCTCCTCTGCCTCTGCCATCCCTTCCTTCACCATGGGGTTCCCTGCCTCAACCACAACGATGTTCACTGGTGCTGCTGCAGAATGGATGGAGCTGGGTGAGGTGGGTGGTGAGCATCTGAGAGGCTGGATAAGAGGCCTTTATAAGCGTCAGGAGATCAGAGCTGGCTTAGGACAGCATTTGCATGTGGGGGTTTTTGGGGTGAAACCCACAGATCTGAGAAGGAAGCCTCTTCAGGCCCCACTGCCTTCTCTTCCACCCCCAAAGGCCATACGGGCCTCCCAACTGAAAGACACAAGCGTCTTTGCAGTCCTCATCCTTCTTCGCCCCCTGAGGGGTTTGGCGCTGTCCACCACCCTCTCCTGGAAGCCCTGTCCTCCCTTGGTAGGCATATTCCTGCTTTCCCAGAAACATCTCCCCTGGGCATCTTACAGACCCTTCCCATGTCAGGGCAAATAGAACTAGTTACCTATTGCCACCACCCTCACTGAACCTGCCCCTCTGCTCCCCACCTGAGATTCTGTCCCTCTGTTCACCCAGTCCCCCTGTCTTCTGGATCTCCCTTGCCTCTGGATTTGAGTTTGCTCACCAAGTTCTCAAAGCATCTCTCGGGTCATTTCCTTGCCTATGCTATTGTGTTAACTTCTTACACTGTCTCCCTGACTGAGTTAACTCTCCTCCAAGTGCAGCCCCTGCTCCATCTAGGTCTAGTCTCCTAAGAGCTAGCTCTGTCCTGTGATACCTGTGACTTGCAGTGGCTCGCAGGGTAAAGCCCAAGACTGGCATTTAAGCAAAGTCCTTCCAGCTGGTCCTGGCCCTGGCTCTGGTCTCCATCCCAGCCGCTCCTCGGCCACCTCCCAGCGCCCCCCCACAACGTGCCCTGAACAGTCCAACCACAGCAGGGTACATGCTGTTCCCTGCTCCTGCCTTCCGCTCCCTCCCTCCTTTCAAAAGCTCTTCACCCTTCGAAGACCAGATCAAGTATCATGCCCTCTGTAAAACTGTCCAGTGCTCCAAGGTGGACTTAACTGCTCGCTGCTGCTCTGAGTTTCCCAGACATGCTTTCCCTAGGCCTGGCGACAGTTCTGATCATGGCAACAGGCTGCCTGGTGACAAGGGGAGCATGGGCTTTCGGGATGAGCTGGCTAGGCTTCCTCTAGCCAATCTCCCTCTTAACAGCAGTTTTATTTTGGGAAAGCTACTTACCGCTATGAGTCTCAGCTTGTTTTATTTTTAAATGGGAGCAGTGATGCCTACCTTACAGACAAAGAGTGGTGGCAGGGTTCAGAAATCACATATAAGTACATATATACACACAAGCGCTTGAATGTATTGGTTAAAAAATAGCAGATGCCTTGGTTCAAATCCCAGCGCTACCACTTACTAACTCTGAGGCCTTGGGCACATTACTTTAAGCCTCAGTTTCCCTTCTGTAAAAAAGGAAAATCGTAGTGTCTACTTATAGGGTTGTAGTGAAGATCAAATGAGCTCATACAGATTTGGTGCTTAGAATACTGCCTGGTGCATATTCTGGTGGTGGTTGCTGTTTAGTGTCTCAGTTGTGTTCGACTGTGACCCCATGGACTGCAGCCCGCCAGGCTCCTCTGTCCATGGGTTTCTCCAGGCAAGAATCCTGGAGTGGCCTGCACTTCCTACTCCAGGGATCTTCCTGACCCAAGGGTCAAACCCACGTCTCTTGAGTCTCCTGCATTGGCAGGCAGATTCTTTACCACTGGCGCCAATATAAAGCCTCACAAAACAATGGGCTCTTTTTATTATTAAAGTATCTGACCCTTAGCAGGTGCTCAAAGACCCTAGCTGTTGAAATTGTTCTGTGATTAATTTCAAGGCATCTTTCCCCCAGAGGGATCATGAGCTCCGGAGGCCAGGCACTGTATTTTATTTGTTTCTGTATCCCCAGTGCCTGGTTCAGCCCTCAATAGACAGACTGAGTTGAACTGATTTGGGAGTAGGTGAGATGTTGAAAAAGGAGGAACAAATGATGGCCTCAGAACTGGCACCTGCACAGGCTAAGAGTGGTAAAGAGCTGTATCTTGGAAACAAGAAAGTAACCACGATGGAAGGAACTTTTGTTTGTTGAACACCAGCACCTTGAACAGTGCCTGGTACAGACTTGGCAAACAAGCAATATTTGTTGAATGCAGCACCCGTGTAGCACAGAAGAGGGAGTGGTTGTTGAGAGGCCTAATCTCATCCCAAGCAGCTAGAGAGAGGGAGCGGGCAGTGACTGGGAAGGGGAAACAACCAGATCTCCAGCAGGGGTGCCTGACCAGCTTGAAATCAGAGTGGAAGGAGCTGTGCCCCGGCGAGAGAGAGGATGGGCGTGGGAGACTGCTTACTCTGAGCAGAAGGCCCGAGTGGGAGTCTGAGGCAGGGCTGAGACTCCCCTTGCAATGGACAACTTCTCCTCTTGCTCAGTGGGAAGGAGACCACCAGTGGTTGGGTCTCCCCAGGGCAGCAGCCCCCATGTCCCCTGGACCTTCGGTGTTTGGGAGGAGGGATGAAGCGAGGCCAGTACCTTGATGCCTGCGCTCCGGCACTTGCCCACAGCGTCGGGCACGGCAGCCCGTGGAGGGTCAATCATGGACATGAGCCCCACGAAGCAGAGCTTCTCCGTGGGAAAGTTCAGCTCATCCGTGTCAAATTTGAAGCCCCGAGGAAACTTTCCAGAGGGCAGATTCAGTTGACAGAAGCCTGAAGAGGGGAGATGGGAGGAATGAGAGCGGGCTGGTGGTCGCCTGGGTGTCCCCCCATGCCTCTCATCCCAGGGAGGCCTTTCTGAGCCCCGCTCCCTGCTTCTGTCCCCTCACCCAGGACGCGCTCCCCGAGTCCCCCCAGCTCCAGGTAGGCATTCTGGAAGGCATCTTGCATCTCCTTGTCCAGAGGGATCTCCTTGCCCTGCACCAAGATGGAGGAGCAGCGGTCCAGGATGCGCTCAGGGGCCCCCTTCATCACCAGCACGTGGCTCTGGGGGCTGTCTTCTCGCTCGTGGATGGACAGCTGGAGAGAGGACAGGCAGTTACAGAGGGGGCCAGACTTGTCTCAGAAGCTCCAGTGCCCAGCATGGGGCCTGGGAGAGAGCCGAGGATGGTAAAAGTCCCTTAATAAAATAACCCCCGAGCCATTGACCACTCTCAACATAGGGAGAGTCTCTGGGTGTGGATGGGTGTTTGGACCTCACAATCACAACCCTGTAACCTGAGGGTCACTTTCCCATAGGAGATTTATTCACTCAACAGATACTTACTCTGATCACTTAGGACAGGCCCTGGGCTAGGGGTGAGGTGGCTCTGTCATCAGCATGCCCCGTCACCATACTGGGCTCAGGGGGCTTTACCCACATGGCTTTTTAAATTTTATTTATTTATTGGCTGCACTGGGCCTTCGTTGCTGTACAAGCTCTTTCTCCAGTTGCGGTGAGCAGGGTCTGTTCTCTAGTTGCGATGTGTGGGCTCTCATTGCCGTGGCTTCTCTTGTGGAGCACGGGCTCTAACGCACACAGGCTTCAATAGTTTGCAGCTCTTGGGCCTTAGAGGGCGGGCTCAGTAGTTGTCGTGCCTGGGCTTAGTTGCCTTGAGGCAAGTGGGATCTTCCCGGACCAGGGACTGAACCCACGTCCCCTGAATTGGCAGGCAGATTTTTAACCGCTGGACCACCAGGGAAGCCCCACCCCTATGGTTGAGGCTGCTGTCCTGTCATTTAACAGAGAGGGCCAGGCTGGGGGACGCCCTAAGGGTATTTCCAAAGTATGATTCAACTGAATAGAATGGAAGGGTTGGGGGACTGGAGCCAGAGGATGTGGAGAAGAGTTCAGAGGGTGGCAGCTCATAGTAAAGGAACGAAGGTTTGGGAGCTGGGGACAGGAGGTGGTTGCAACCAGATGTCTGGTCACCCATGTTGCCGGGGGGATGAGGCAGGGGTGAGAGGAGGTGACGCTCAGATGGCCTCTCTCTGCCTGCGGATTCCCCCTTGACTTTGCCCCTCACTTCCATCCCTTCCTCTCCCCCTGAGCTGGCATCCAAGCCCCACCTGGTACTTATTGGTTGAGTTGAAAGGGATCTCTGCCACCTTAGGATTTCTATCCCTCATCTTCCTCACGGAGCCGCAGGACAGCTCAATGCACTTGAGGAGAGCTGACTCGGAGGCATCACCTGCTGTGTCCCGCTGCCAACGAGGAGAATTCAGTGTCACAGTGGAGGACCAAGCCCGCCATCCTCTGGGCAGCCACAGGGTGTGAAAGGGGAAGCTTTGTGTCGGGAAAGGGGGTAGACTGTGGGGACCCCCCACCTACCTTAGACACAGAGATGTTTTCCTGCCCTGCCTTGAACACAGCACGGTTGCAGAGACCAGCAATTCGGGATAGGGCGGTCCACGTTGGGGATCGTTTGTCAAAAGTAGCCCCTGGGAGGAAAGGAGGGAGAAGAAGGAGGTTGGCTCCCCTTAGAGCCCTTATCTCATCCCATCCGCCCTGCCAGCCAACCCCGATGCTCTGAACATTCCCCCAGCTCTGGGTAGAGCGCCCAGTCACCAGACTGATCTTCCGTGGTGTCGGCCTCATGGATCTGATTGTCGAACCACATGTGGGCGACGGTCATGCGGTTCTGGGTGAGGGTGCCCGTCTTGTCGGAGCAGATGGTGGAGGTGGAGCCCAGCGTCTCCACCGCCTCCAGGTTCTTCACCAGGCAGTTCTTCCGAGCCATGCGCTTGGCTGTCAGGGTCAGACACACCTGGTAGAGACAGTGGGCAGTAAAAAGGGCTCCACCTGGAGCTGGAGATGACCTTGTTCTTACCCTAGACCATGGCTCTGTCCCACCTCTCTTGATCCTACTCCATGAACATTGAGAGGGACCTAGGTGTAAGTTGTGAACGTGTTCCACTTTAGACGTGTTGAGCTGAGATCATGAGTGTATATTTAGGTGAAATATCCAGTAAGGAGTTGCAGATACTTGGCCAGAGCAGGGTGTAGGTGGGTGCATGTCATCAACGTGGAACAGGCACCAGGAACTGGGAGGAGAGGCGCTCACTCGGGTGCGTTAGGAGAACAGAGCACTGAGGCCTGATGACCAGCGGGGGCGGGGAGGGGGAGGAGACACTGGGGGGAACGGGGGAGAGGAGAACCAGGGTGGCACCCTGCCACAGCCGTCCGCGAAGGAGAGGATGCTGGGAAGGTGGGCAGCAGGATCCATTTCAGCAGCAGAGTGAAGGATGGGAGCTGAGGAAAGGTCATTAGATTTGCTAGTCAGTCACTGGTGACCTTTGAGAGAGGCTTGACAGGGCTGGCCAGGACGAGCTCCAGATGGCGGTGGAGAGATGACTAATATGAGGATTGTGAGGAAAGGTGACTAGCAAGAGCTCTGGGAGAGAAACAGCGCTAAGACACAGTCCAGCCTGAGACTTTTCTTCCTCAAACTCTGAGCCAGGTACCAAAGGGGACTTTTTCAGACTCACATTCTAAGCCATGGAGTAATGAGAAATCGAATGTGTGATTTTAGGGAAGTGAAAAAGCGGCAGGAGAGCTGCACGCCTCTCTTGCTTTTGAAGCAGGGAAGCAGAGCCCTCCCCAGGTAGCCCCTCAGTCTGACCCACTCACGGTGACAGTGGCCAGCAGGCCCTCGGGCACATTGGCCACAATGATGCCGATAAGGAAGATGACCGCCTCCAGCCAGCTGTAACCCAGGATGAGGGACAGCACGAAGAAGGAGACCCCCAGGAACACCGCCACCCCTGTGATCAGCTGGATGAAGTGCTCAATCTCCATGGCGATGGGCGTCCGCCCGACCTCCAGGCCGGAGGCCAGAGTGGCTATACGGCCCATCACTGTCCGGTCACCCGTGGCAATCACGATGCCCCTGGCAGTGCCTGCAACACAGGAAGGGACACCAGGTCGGTACCCTGGGGATCCTAGGAACCGAAGTCCCTTCCTGCTTCCTGGGAGAGGAAAATCAGCACAGCATGCGTGAGCCAAGGACTCCCATCCTGGAGGGTGCCTCCTGAGATGAGACCTCCCTTTGCGTCCTCTCCCAGGACAGAGGGCCAATCCCAGAGCTCAGTGCAACAGCACATTATTCTCTCCTATACTTGGACCTGGGGTGGGGGCAGGGGAGCGAATCCTTGTGAATAAACTCAAAGTTCACGTTGAGGAGATTCAGTGAATGAAATAAAGTATTGCCTTTGGTTATTTCAATAAAATCAATCTCATCTCTTAGATCTTGTGTGTGTTCAGTCGTGTCTGACTCTTTGTGACCCTATGGACTGTTGCCTGTCAGGCTTCTCTGTCCATGGGATCTCCCAGGAAAGAATACTGGAGTGAGTTGCCATTTCCTTCTCTAGGGGATCTTCCTGACCCAAGGATCAAATCCACATCTCTTGTATCTCTTGCATTGGCAGGTAGGTTCTTTACCACTGTGCCACCCGGGAAGCCCTAATCTCATACTTGTTATCATTTAAAAATATAACAATATTTTTGAACACAATATACTGTGTTCATAAGTAAATTCGTAAGTAAAGCACTTATGGATTTTCCCTGTAGTCATAAGCTTTTCTTTCTCGACACTAGGTACAAATCTCTCTAGAAGAAGCTAGGCAACCACTAGCTTTTAGGTAGACATTCCAGGGGTACTCAGGGGAGGAAGTGCACTGTTGCGGAAAGCGCATGCATCGGAACCAGCCAAACCTGGGTTTGCATCCTTGTGTGAATTCCTTCCTACTCACTCTAATAATGAAATGAGACAGTGCTGTGATATACCCTAAAGCAGCATCTGGCACATAGTAGGCACTCCAAAAACATTAGTTCCATTCATTTCCTCTCCTCTCTCCAAAGTCAGTTCAGGGTAATCAGTGGCATGTTTTACGAGGCATTTTTATCAATTGTGGGAAATGCAGAGCAACTTTCAGAATCTCAGTACATTAAAACTTTAAGAAACAATGTGTGGTGATTTTTTTGCTGTGAATCCAACTTGCTGAAGGAAGGGAAAAGCCCAGAGAAACAGACACACAAGAGAAATGAGATACAAGGAGGAAAGGTGTGTGTGGGGCTGGGGAGGGGGAGATACGAGGCCTCTTTGACCCACTTTCTGAGGCTCATCGTCTAGCCAGACACTTCCTCCCACCGGCTCGGGCTCTGCCTCCTCTCCGGGCCAGCCCCGACGCCGCTCACAACCACAGAGGGTGGGGTTTCGGGTCACTCAGTGGTGACAGCTCCAGGACCTCTTCCTGGCCTTTGGTCATCTCTAGAAGCCAGAGCTGAGGGCCCGCTGGGCAGCCTGTGCGTGGCCAACAGCTCCTCTTGGTGAAGCCCAGGCCTGGAGGCGGCCTGAGGAAAGGCCTGAGTGTTCACCTGGACCAGATGCTTTCTTACCCCTTCCCCAGTCTGGGTCCTGGCCAAGCAAGGGTCAGGAGATGAAGCAACTAGTCCTAGAACCAGGAGCGAAGGGGGCCGTCAGTCAAACCAAAGACTTCTAGGAGTTGGGGCTGGTTTGGGGCGTGTGTGTGTGTGTGTGCACATAGTGGTCTTGGCTCATATCTGAAGGCTTGGGAACCCACTCTGTCCTGGGGTGGGCAGAACAGAGCCCTTACTGTGGGAGGTAACTATTCCATGGAATCACACTGCCGCAGCCAGTTTGCTGCCCTCTGGAGAGATTATTCCTGTAATACTCAGGGCTCCAGACCCTTTGATTCCCTTCTCCACAGCCGGGCTCTTGACAAGCAAGCATGGCCACAGCCCCCAGTCCTGCCTGGGGACCCAGGATTCAGGCTCCTGACACTGCTGCCGGAAGCAGGGGCTCCCCACAAGGCTGGTCTCTCACCTTCCACGCAGTTGGTAGAGAAGAAACAGATATTGCGGGTCTCCAGGGGATTCTCGTGGGTGAACTCGGGGGAGCGGGTCTGGGGCTCTGACTCGCCTGTCAGGGAGGAGTTGTCCACCTGAGGAGGAAGGCAGTGTGGGGCCATCAGACGGGCAGACGCGCATGTGGACACACCGCTGTGTCCTGACTCCAGCCACACTCAGTCACCATGACACTGGAGACAGAATGACACTTGCTCTCATCGCATATTTATAGTGTCACTCAGCTATTGTCCCTGCTCTGCTTTGGAATCTGGGCTCGTTGACTTCTTCTGTGACCTTGGGCTGGTTACTTAACCAACAGCGCTTCTGTTTTACTCATCTTTAAATGGGCATGGAAGCGGAATTTCAGCACTGCACAGCCACAGGGGGCGGCACTAAGGCCGTAGTCTGTGAAAACGGCACTGTCCAGGGTTGTGTGCGGCAGGACTTGTGTGGCCAGGCGCAACATCTTTTTGGTTGACTACACCACTCTTGCAGAGTTAAATTAGATAGCCTGTGTGAATGGCTATAAAGCATCTGACACATAATAATACTCGATAAATCGTTGCTATGAAGTGGATATCAAAGGAACACCCGGGGTGCAGAGCGTCCGTGGCACACAGATACAAGCAAAGAACATGCGAGCGCTAGCATAAGTCGAGGTGGGGCTGGGCAGGGCGGGGCAGGTGTTGACACCCGGACCTGAGGCTCCCAGACGCTGAACCTCTCACTGGCCCCTCTCAGCTTTAGACAGCTTGCTTTTTAGACTCAGCCAGTGCTCTGACACGGCGCCCTCACCTTACAGCCGTGAGAAGAGATGATCCGGAGGTCGGCGGGCACGCGGTCTCCACCCTTCACCTCCACCAGGTCTCCCACCACCACCTCCTCCGCGTTGATCTGCATCTTCTCTCCTTCTCGCACCACAAGGGCTTGCTGTGGGGAAGTCCCGGGCATCTCAGGTTGAGCTCATCTCTACCCCGACCTTCCTCTTTCACCAGTCTCCCCCCTCACCTCCAACCCCACAAGGAGAAGGACAGACCCTGGCACCCTTAGCAACAAGATAGGTCCCAGTGTGGAGACCTGGAGGGTCTTTTCCGCCCAAGCCTCCATCTCTGAGCACAAGGAGTTGAGAAGAGCTAAGCCAGACTCTCCCAGAAACCTTACGCGCCAGCCCCAGCTATCCACCTGAGGCACCATGTTCTTGAAGGAGTCCATGATCTTGGAGCTCTTGGCCTCCTGGTAGTAGGAGAAGCAGCCAGTGACGATAACCACAGCTGCCAGCACCACGCCCAGATATAGCTGGTAAGGAGAAAGGTTTTGAGGGACCTGACTTTTCCCAGCCCTAGAGGGCCAGCTGCCACTCAGGATGAGAATTCAGCGCCGCCTTTGTTTGTGTCTGGAAGTGAGAGTGGTGGAAGAAAGTCCTCTCTCCCATCTCCCCCTCAACCCTCTAATCCCCAGCCACCTAAGACTAGAGGGGATGGGGAAATTGCAGGGAGTTCCCAGGACTAGGACTTCTCGAGGGAGGAAAGACCTGGGGGTGCAGACAAGTCCACTTAAGTGTGAAGGCACAAGGAGGGACTGTCTCCACCACGAGTGTGTGTGTTGAAGGGGGTGTTTCTAGATGTGTATAGAAGGCTTCCTGGTGGCTGAAACGGTGAAGAATCCACCTGGACGTCAGGAGACCTGGGTTTGATCTCTGGGTCAGGAAAATCCCCTGGAGGAGGTCACAGCAACCCACTCCAGTATTTTTTCCTGGAGAATCCCATGGACAGAGGAGCCTGGCAGGCTATAGTCCATGGGGTCGCAGAGTCAGACATGACTGAGCAATTAACACTTTCACTTTCAGAAGCCTCACCCATTTTCAGTCCAAAGAGTCGAAGGGCTGTGGGATTGTACACGAGGTCTTGCTCCCTGCCTCCCCCTGACCCACGGTACTGAAGATGTAGGGCTAGAGGACAGAGTCACAGGCTGGCCCGGGAGTCAGGCGTGCCGGCTCACATTGTCGTTGGATGGTTCGTCCTCCATGGCAGCCTGGATGCCGAAGGCCAGGAAGCAGAGGATGGCCCCGATCCACAGCAGGATGGAGAAGCCCCCGAAGAGCTGACGGCAGAACTTCACCCACTCAGGGGTGGTCGGGGGTGGGGTGAGGGCATTGGGTCCATCCCGAGCCAGAATGTCCTGGGCCCGCTGGTTGGTGAGGCCCTGAGGGAGGTGAGGAGAGGTGAGGGAGCTGAGCCCACATCCAGAACCCACCTGGCCCTTCACCATTTCCCGCCAGGAACCTCACAGGGGCATAACGTCCAGGTGGAGGGAACAATCCCACCCGGTTGGAAGGGGTGGGGGTCATCCGGAGAGGCCACATGGAGGAGGTGGCATTTGCAATGGGTGTTGGAGGTTTTGAAGGCTGAGGATATGGGCTGTGGCTCCCCCAACTCTGGGCAACCTTGGGTTGAGACACATTTTGGTTAGGGCCCCAGTAATCTCCTCTGGAGGCAGCTTGGATAAGGCTCTCTGGAAAGACATCTCAGTTGGCCCCCCTGCCCCCCACCCTGCCTCATCTCTCTCTTCCTTCAGATTCCCCCCTTCACCAAGGACTCCAGAAGGTCCTACATTACTGACCATCAGTGTCACACAGCCTCAGTCACCACTCATCACTTTCCCCAGAAAGCTTCACCTGGCTCTGTACCCTGAGCCCAGGGCGCAGCCACCCCTCTCTGGCTCCCTCGCATCCCAGGCACGATTCCAGGGCTGCACCCAACACAAGGCACTGAGTTGCTAGACTCTGAGCTCCTTAAAGGCAGAAGCCACTTCTTAACTATTTTTCTATCTGTCCTCTTGCTTATTCAATAAATGTGTACTGAGCACCTATGTGTCAGGCAGAAGAGTCAGAGCTGGGGCTCCAGGGATGGACAAGGCCCACAGGTCCCTGCCCTGTGAAGCTTATGATCTCATGAGGGGATACACAATAAACAGACATTACTGCCAGATAGTGAAAAATGTTATTCTAAAAAACAAGGGAAGGTAAAGGAAGGGGGCATAGAATTTTCAAAAAGGCAGTCAGGGAAGGCCTACATTTTTGATGAATGACTTATTACTTTTCAAAATGAAGGGCTTGGTAATGTGACTGTGCCACCAACTATTGATGTAATCGTGGGAGGTCACTTTCCCCTCTGAGTGTCCTTGCTTTAAGGAACAGGGTTCCACACCTGGCTTGTCATAAGAGTCTGGAAAGTAGGTAATCTTATCCCAGTGCTACATGCATAGTGGGCGCCCGGCGCTTCACTGTGATGGCAGGGTTCCCCCACTACTACAGGAATGTCGGTTCCACGAGAGGAGGTGTCACTGAGCTGCGGCCTTGGGCTGTAAGGAGCCCTGGCTTCCAGGCAGCCAGGGAAGGAGCTATAGACTAAGAAGCAGGGGATCTGCTTCCTAGTTTTGGCTCTGCCACCAGCTAGTCCCTCATCTCTGGGCTTCAGTTTCCTTAGCCATAAGGAGGGTGGGATTTGAATTTTAAAGCTCCTTTTTCCCCCAAGGCTGTCTCAAGGAAAAGGTTCTCTTACCTCTTTGGTGCTTCCCTAGACACCCCTTCACTGACCTTGGACAGATCCACTTGGTACTTGCGGCCCAGCTCATCCAAGGACAGCTTGTGGTCATCCTGGGGAAGGGAAGGCAAGTTGCTTTGGGGAAGAAGCCTGAGCGAGTGTCTAGAATGCATCTGAGGGCAGTGGGAGCACGGCAGGGAAGCAAGGAGCATGAGAGGCCGGTGCAGGCATCCAGGAGTGCACGGGCTGCGGGGGCAGCCCTGCCAGCGTGGGAGACTTTCCCAGGGCCTGGCAGGGTAGGCTGGGGCTCACCATGGCCACCTCCTTCTTCAGCTCATCCAGCTCCTTCTCTTTCTGTTTCTTCTTGCCGCCCCCATTTTCCGCAGTGGTGGCTGCAGGCGAGTACTCCCGGCCGGCCTGCAGGAGGAAGGGAGAACCTGGGGAGTTAGGGAGGCTCCAGCCTCTATTCCCACTGAAGGACTAGGAGCCCAGGCACTGGGAGTGGAGGCCAGCAGATTCAAAGTCAGAGGTCATCCCAGGGGAGGAGAGGGGGTGCAGGGTGGCGGGGACCTCAGGCCCTCCATTTGCAAACTGTTGGCAGAGCCCTGGGGCTCTATGTTTGAACTTTAGGAAAGGCCGAGGGGCTCAGGACTCAGGAGCCCACTCTTAGCTGTTCAGTAGCTGGGTTTCTGCTAAGATTTTGTTTGTTGAAAGAACCCTGCTCTTTAAGTAAAATAAACAAAAAGCTTAAAAACCACCATCCTACACTATTTGGAGTTCTGGAAGGGAGTGGCCAGGGTCGGGGGTTCAATGAGGAGGTAGAAGCACCCTGTGGGAATGTCTTTGTCTCAACATATGACTGCCTGACTCAGAGGGGAGAGGAGAGAGTTAGGAATTTGGGAGATAGGAGTCTTTGGGGGGTCAGGGGTCAGGGGTCAGGAAGTGTCTAGAGGAGGAGGGGCGCCCTAGGGTGTGGTGGTGGAGTGTGGAAATGATGGGCAGGGCTCACGGGCTGAGAAATCAGTAGCTGGAGGGTCAGTGCGTCTGGGAAGTGGGCATCAGAGTGTCCTGTTAGGCAGGCCTGCCCGTGACAGGGTGAAAGGCGATTCGCAGAACATGAAGCCTCAAAGCTCACCTGGGTGAGGAGGGGACTGGGCCCTATTTGCCTAAATAGATAAGAGATCGTCTCTGAGGACAAATCTAAAACTGAAGATACATGGGACTCCTAGGCCCAGGCATTCCTGGGTCCTCAGGTGAAGTCAGGTGGACCTTCTAACTGGAGTTTCCTGAGGTCACCATTTCCCCCTCCTCTTACGGGTCTGTGGTCTCCTCACCGCCCCCAGGCTGCCGGGGTCTCACAGGGGACTTTGTGGGGAGAGGGTGAGGAAGTTCTCCACCCGAGGGGTCTTGGGTGATAGGGTAGGAGGAGGCCGAGGAGGCCTGAGGTGGCGAAACCCGTGCCTCCTCACTGCCTCTTCTTCCCCAGGCTCCGTTCCCAACTCCTTCAGGCCGCCGTGTCCCTGCACCGAGGCGCCGCTCACTTCCTGTCCTGGGCCCCGAGTGCCCGGCCAAGTTTGCAGGGATTAGTTTTTCTATACTAATGTCATTCATTTTTCTTTTTTCCCATAAAGAGAGGATACCTCGGTGGGATTTACATCAAGGGCTTTGTTCCCACCCCCCCCCCAACCCCTGCTTTTTTTTTTTTTTTCAGGATAATGCTTTAAAAAAAAAAAAAAGACCTTTTCTTTTAGAGCAGTTTTAGGTTGACAGCAAAGCTGAGCAGAAATTACAGGTTCCCATTTATCTCCTGCTCCCACGTGCAAGTTCTCCCCTACTGTCAACGTCTGGCCCCAGTGGTACATTGCTACAACGGATGAACCTACATGGACATATCACTATCACTCAAAGTCCATAGTTTACATTAGGGTTCATTCTGTGGGTCTGGATGAATATGTAGTGACATATGGGCTTCCCTGGTGGCTCAGAAGGTAAAGAATCCACCTGCAATTCTTTCCCATTGAACCTGGGTTTGATCCTTGTTTTGGGAAGATCCCCTGGAGAAGGGAAAGGCTACCCGCTCCAGTATTTTTGCCTGGAGAATTCCATGGCCAGAGGAGGCTAGTGAGCTACAGTCCATAAGGTCACAGAGTCGGACACAATTAAGCGACTAACACTTTCACTATAATGACATATATCCACTATTATAGTATACAGAGTAGTTTTACTGCCCTAGAAATCCACTGTGCTCAAGGTTAATGCATTTTTTTCCCCATCAAAGAGCAGCAATCCAAGGAATGTGACAGCTGCCCTGATCACAAGAGATCATGCATCTAGCACCTAGATTCTAGCACTAGGAGAAATAGAAGTCTGACCAGTGAAATCAGGAGCTGGGATGGGGGCAGTGCAGTGAGAGGTGGACACCTTTATCGCCTAGATAATGCCTAATGATCTATTTAGAAGGATGTGAGCTCTTCTAGGCTGTGTTGCTCAGAAATGCTCTTTTCAGCAAAGATGACCAGTAAGTCTTGCATTTGTTTTCATGTGAAGCATCTATGAATCAGGGCTATTTTTGGCTTCCTGAAGGCTTTCTTCCTGGGGAGACTGAAGCAGCTCAACAGAAGGAGTGGGGAAGGGTTGTGAGTAGTACCTCTCCCTTCCCCAGTGACTTAGGGGGGCTCATTTAATTGAATGTTTTGAAAAGCCCTGGATTCACCGATATAATTCTTTGGATCCTGTCCTTGGTGGGACAGGGCCGAGAATGGTTGAAAAGCATTCAAGAGCCAAGAGGCAAGAGACGAGGCTAAACAAGCTTCTCTGTGACCCTCCACGGCTCCCAGGGTAGGATGAGGCCTGAGCACGCACAGAGGAGTGGGCTCCGACTGGGGGCCAAGGAGCCGAGCCCAGAGGATTTCTGCGTCCTTAGGTAGGAAATAAAGCTCGTGAGAACTGGGATCAAAGGTATGGCTTTAGCAATTTGCCAGCCCACGTATGCATGTCTGGCATGTACAGACGGTGGCTGAGCAGCACCCCCTAAGTGCCCACCCTGCTCTCTTGCAGGCAGTCGCAGAGCTGGGGACACACCGCCCGTCCCCTCTCCCATCCTGGCAGAGGTCTCGGGCTCTGCGGCCAGGAGCCTGCAGGGATCTGGGGCCAGCGGGCTGCTCAGGCAAGAAAGAGAGAGAGGAAGCGAGGACCACCCCCCCCTTCTCCCTCCCCCATCCACAAGTCCACAAGTCCCCCTCTCTGGACCTTGAATGCTGAAGGAGAACAGAGAGTTCTTTCTGAGAGAGCCCAGGGCCGGGACAGAGTGGGGGCCGCTGGAAGGCCGCCATCGCCCCCCCCCCCCACGGCTGCCCTCCGGTGGCAGCTGGAGCAGGCTCCCTCCCCACGCGGCCGTCCCTGCCCCCAGCTCCCACGCTGCCCCTGGGGCCACAGCGGGAGGCGCTGACAGTAAGCCCTTGCTCTGCAGGGAGAAGGGGATGTGGATGGGGGTGCCTCCCCTCTTCCGGGGTCTCAAGGCTGGTTGAACTCCAAGCTCCAAGCCCTAAGAGGCCCCAGCCTCAGTCTGAACAGAACCAGACCTACTCCCTGGCTTGCTACCGGGGGGTGGATGGGAGAGAATTCGTGGGCGCTGGGGGAGAAGCGCAGGCCCCTGAAGAAGTCAAGTTCAAATCACTTCTCAGGCAGGACTTCTTGAGCTGGGTCCCCCCTGTTGCGAAGGCAGGGAGGGGAGAGGTCAGAGGCCCTGCGTCTCAGCTGGGGACTCCTGCTCCCCGGGGAACAAAAGACGTCAAGGTGCAGCTGAGAGTCCCCGGACAGCGTATCTTCCCACGGCTGCGAGCTCTTCCTCTGTGAAGCCCGCTCGTTAGAGACCCTCACATGCCTCCTTAACGTGGCATCTATGCCCACTCGCGCCCGGAGGCCTGCGCGTTTGCAAAATTGTCTCCTGAGGCACAAACACAGGTGCTCACCCAGGAATATCTGCATCAACCGCAGTCTATGGAGAATGCATGAGTCACCAGCACACACACACACACACACACACACACACCAGTTCTATTTATAGCTCCCAGCCCAGCTCAGGAACCCTGGTGTCCAAGCTCAGAGTTTTCCCAGCTGCTAAACTTAGTGCAATACCACGTCCTTGCCTGACCTTCCCAGCCCCAGAGATGACCCCACAGTTCCCCACTGGCACCCTCCTTCCTCAGCACCCTCCCATCCCTGTCATCCTCCAGACCCTCTCCCTCTCTGCTGTCTTCAGCCAGCTTTCCACACCGCCAGGCAGCCAGGCGCAGGATGTAAAGGCACTGGGTCCCTTTGCTCCATATGGAAATTTCATTTCCAAGAATTCAAAGCCCTGGCCCTGCCCCCCTCTGCCCTGGTGGTTGTTAATCTTCCCCTTGGCACACTCAGTGCTGCAGAATGCCACAGGCCGGGGTGGATTGAGGGGGGTGCCGGCAGCTCTCACCAGCTTCTGGGAAAGTCCTCGAAGTACGCGGCTTGGAGCTGGAGGACAACGCTGCCTGGGATGCCCAGGGGTGCTGGACAGGGGGGCTCAGGGCACATTCGTCTTCCTCCACACACTCCTGCCAGCTGTCCTGGGAACTCAGGGCCCCTGGGGCCACTGTGCACAACTGCTTGGTGACGCAGGAGTGGATGGCCTCTGTCCTTCTCTCCCATCTCACACTGGACCCCCATCCCCTCAGGCTGAGACTCCCGGAGGAACAGATACTTTCGGGGGGGGGGGGCGAAGGTGGGGAGGATTTGACAGTTCCACAGAGCCCTGCAGCTGGGAGGCCAGGGGATGCGGGGGTGTGGTGGGGAGGAGCAGGGACAGAGATGAGGGCTGGGGAGGAGGGCGCGCTGGAGGAGATGCGGGGCTGGGCTGGACTGGGGGGCTGCTCCCGCGGAGGTGGAGGAGAGGGCAGCGCTCGGTGGTGGACGCTGCAGGTCTGTGCACACAGCCGTAGCTGGAAGACTCTGCGTTTCAAGTTCAAACTGGCCCACTGCTCCTCGCTCCACATCCCATCCTGCCCTCATCCTTTCCCTCCAGCCTCCCTCACCATCCAGAGAGCCCTACTGCTCCCTCCAGAGTGACCCCTGCTCTTTGGAGATACTCACCCCACGGCCCATCTTGGGGCAGAGTGGCTGAGGGACCTAGACGGGAGAGGTCGCCAGGAGGAACCCAAGCCCAGACCACCAGTCTGGGGCAGTGGCCAGAGACCCCGGCAGACAGACCGAGACAGTGAGCAACAGGGTAGCTTTAAATAGGTCCCTCTCCCCCTCTCCCCCGCCTTCCCCTTCTCGGGAAAGAAACGTTTGTTGAAACAGGATCTCTGAGGACTCCTCCCCTCCCGCCCCTTAAGCAACTAGCCCGTGGAAGGTCCATTTGTCCTGCTGGGTGCTCCCCCTGGGCTCCCCTCGCCCTCCGAGGCCTGGCACCTCCGCTGAGAGCAGCGGGGGAGGCTGCGCCCCGTGGGGAATGCGCCCCTCGGGGACGGGCACAGGGGCACCAGTCCTCTCAGCCTCGTAGGGGCCGGAGCTCATGAGGTGTGACATCTTCCTCTTGATTTCCTGATGGGGAAACTGAGGCCCAGGGAGACTGAGCAGTTTGAGCTGATGAAACAGAATCAGAGCCCAGGTCTCCAGAGTCTGTATCTAACCTCCCAGAAAAAGAAAGGAGACTGTTGCCTGCACTGTAGGTGGTGGGATGGCCGAAGCCAGGGAAAGGCAGCATTGGAGCCCCAGGCCAGCCCTTGGATACGAGAGTCAAAGACAGTTCCAGGAGCAGCATGAAGTCTGCAGGGAGACAGAGGGCAGAGGGTCTCCCCACGCCCTCCAGATGTACCTTTCCAAAGTTTGAGAATCAAAACTCGCAGGATCTGGGAGGTGGCTGGTGGAAGGGCCAGCCGGGCCTCCTGGACAGACCAGTAGGCCTCCCAGATAAGACCTCTCTCTGGGTTTCCTTCACCCTGGTTAGAGGGGGGACATGCTACTCACTTAGTTGCTAACCAAGAGCTCTGGGCTGAAGCTAGGCCTGGGGTTGTTGGAGAAGCCCATAGAGAGGCAAATGGGGAGATTCAAAGAGGTATGTGGAGGTCAGCATGCTAACAAGTACCAGACTTGTGAACTAGAAAGGAGGGCAGCTGCTTCCTTAACTGGGGTGGAGGGGAAAGGAAGGCAAGTCTGCAGCAGCAGGATGGCAGGATGGCGGGTAGACACACAGAGGCAGGCCCTCTGCTTCCCTGCAGAGGGAAGCCTGGGGGAAACTGAGGCAGTGTCTGGGGTCGGGGGGGGTGGGCGCTCTGGTAGCAGACACCAGCCAGAAACAGGGATAGAGGAGATGATCAAGACAGAACCCTGTGGTGTCGCTGCTCATCTGTCAAAAGAGCCAAAGAACTGGGGGCCAAAGGAGGAAAGGGAAACCGGAAGGGGCAGAGAGAGGAAAAAAGTCCTGCCTTCTCGTGGAGGCTGTCAGAGGACGGGGTTCTCCTGGTGGAGGGAAGCCAGTGGGCTGGGGTCAGGTCTGAGCCCTGGCGAGTAAGCTTCAAAGGAAGTTAGAGGAGGGCAGGAGTGGGGCCCTCCAGCCGGACACCTGAGGTGTCTGCTGGCTGGACTGGTCCTTGCTGGCCCCAGAGGGAACGCCCCACAAAGGGATTATCGACCTCTCCTCCAGCAAGTCCACGCTCGGGGCACAGGGTTCATGTTTGAATTCCCCAAATAACTGGCCCCCTCTGGGCCAGCGGTTGGGATTTTCCATTACAGAGATCCGGTAGGTCATGCCCAGCCTCTGCCCTCCTTCTCTTCCTGGGTTCCAGCAGGAAGGGTGAGTGGAAGGGGGCAACTCCCTTCTCTGCACCGGCCCCTCCACCGACCTTGACTTTGGACCTGGGGAGATCAGGTAGTGGGAGGAAACAAGGAGAAAAACAGAACCCAGTTCAAGCCTAGGTGTGTAGAAAGGAGAGTGAGAAAAGTAATTGAGGATGCAGCAAGAAGGCTCGTGGTTAGACAACAGGAGGGACCGCCCAAAGAAGTTGGTTACAGACAGACCCACAGGTGGGGGGCAGCCTTGCCCTGGGGTGGACCAGAGGTGACTTGGGAGTTAGGAAGCAGCTACTCATCAGTTCCTAGGGCAGAGCGCCCAGGTTATCGTCTGCCCTGCCCTCTGCAGGATGCAAAGTGAGACAGAAAAGAACAGGGTAGGAAACGGAGAGCATGTCGGCTTCCAGCACTGGGTTCTCAGGGTTTTCACACCCCATCCTCATCCCCTCTGGCACCTCCCAGTGCTGCCCAGTCCTTCCAAGGTCCTGGGTCTGGTCCCTGTAGCCAGACCCGACACCGGAAGGGGCTGTGCCCTTCCTCTGCCCACACAAACCTGGTGAAGGGGGGAGGGGCCCTGCCTAGCCCTGCAGTTGGGTGAGTCTGTAGCCGCTGGTGGTAAAGAATGCAGGAGACCTAAGAGACGTGGGTTGGATCCCTGGATGGGGAAGATCCCCTGTTGGAGGGCATGGCCACCTGCTCCAGTGTTCTTGCCTGGAGAACCCATGGACAGAGGAGCCTTGCAGGCTACAGTCCATGGGGTCGCACAGAGTCAGACAGGACTGAAGCGACTCAGCGCGCGCACACACACCAGCGCGGTCCTAAGGGCGCTGCTACATGCATATCTGGGACGCAAACAAAGACAAGGGCACAGGACCCAGGGCCGGTCCCTCAGCCGCGTCGCGTGTCCTGACCTCCCTGCCTGCCCAGGACAGTGTGGAGGCTCTGGGAGGTCACCCCTTCCTCCTCCTCCTCTGCGGACCTCGGACTCCAGGACACCACCCAGAGTAGACACCACCTGGTCGTTTGATCCGGGGTGCCTGCTTGGGCTCCTGCTTCCTCTGAACACAGCCATTGGTGCCAGCTTGGACCGACGCCCCTGGGGTAAGAAGAGGGAAGCAGAGAGCGAGACAGACTTGAAAGTAGGAGGTGGGAAGTGCAGGGGGACTGGTCTGGGGTTGGGTCCGAGAGAAAGTCTTAGATCGGAAGGCAGCCCCACGACGGAGAGGCTGTGTGGTCCTGAATCAGGTGTGCCGTTGGTATGGGAGGGTCTGGGAAGGAGGTGTGTGCGTGAGAGAGAGAGACAGGCAGAGGAGGGTGTCTCCTCGCGTGTGTGCAGACGTGTGCAGTCAGAGACGGGGGCTGCTGCGTGTGGGGAAGAGCCTGTGGGAAGGAACTGAGTCAAGTCCTGGGGAGAAGGTGCGGTCGGTGTGGTGACGCTCCGTCCTCCGCGCTCCCGCGTGTCCCCGTGCGGAGCACGCGGGCGGGTGTACGTGAGCGGCCCTGGGAGGACGCGTGTGTGCAGGGGACGGGGCGGGACGCCGCGCAGCTGCAGATGGGCTTCCAAGGGCTCCAGGACACAGTTGTTTCCTCAGCGACTGGCCTCCCGGGGCCTCCAGCCCAGACTTGAACGTTGTTTCAAGGTCGTGAAAGAGCGCGAGGGTGGGAGAGAGGGAGGGAGGGAGAGCGGGAGGGAGGAAGGGCGCGAGGGAGGGAGAGCGGGAGCGCAGGAAGCCCCGGCCCCGCGCCCGCCCCTCACCCACTTCTCCGGGCCGAGCTCCCGGCCCCGCTCGCTCTTCCTCCTCCGCCTTTGTCAGCCCCTCCAGGCAGCCTCTCCTCTCCCTCTGTCCTGCCCTCCCCTTCCCCTCCTGCTCCCCCCCACATTGTTCTTCAGGGTCTGTCACCACTGCCAGGCTTCCCGGGCCTTCTGGGGGGAGTGAGCGAAAAAGCTCCGCTCCCCTGGGAGGCTGTCTCTGGGCGCCAGGGTGAACGGGAGCCTGGGCAGGCCTGGGGTGTCCCAGAAAGGTGCCTCCTTTCCCCCCTCCTCTCCAGCCCTCTCTCCTCGCAGGTCCCTCAGGTTGCAGTGATCTTGTGGTGGGCAGGTTGTGGAGCTGCAAACAGCCTGTCCAGGTCCTGCTGCTGCCTCAGTTTCCCCACTGGACCACAGGGCTGTGTTGGATTTCTCTCTCTCTCTGTTTACATCTGTGCCTCTGTGCTCTTTCTTGTCTTTGCAAACCACTCAGAATGCGTCCTAGAAACCTCTTCCTCTGTCTCTCCTTGCTTCTGTCATTTAAAATTTTTCCTCTGGATTATTCTTACTACCCTTTTAATTGGTAAAACCACATTATACAGAACTCAGAAAATGGACAGGGAAGAAAGAGCGCCTGGAAGAATTTTCCTCAATCTCTCCGCCTCTGCTCCCTGCCCACCTCTTTTGGCTCTCTCTGCTGCTCTCTGGGTTGGGATGGCTCCATGTTTGTGTCCTGGAAGTGCAGTAGAAGGCAGATGGAGGGACAGGAAAGGATCAGAGTGTGGCCTGGGGGCTGCGTGTCAACCTCCCTGCTGAGCACAATGGCCCAGAGCTGCTCTGGGCCTGTCTTCCCACAGTCCTACCTGCAGCCCTGACCGCGGTCCAAAGCAAAGGGCCCATGTCTGCACATCAGGCCAGCGCGGTTGGTTCCAGTGGAACCACTCAAGGGACCTTGGGGAAGAGGCATCCTTCATCTGAATAATGAGCAGAGCTAGAAAATCTCTGAGGTTCCTTTACAGCTCTGATGATCCCCAAATTCCAGGCTACTTCCTTCTTAGCACTTGGCTCTGCCCAGGTAAACAGGAAAAATTACTTGTGTTTGTATCTCCAACAATCAGTTGGAGACCAGGGTTCAGAAGGGGATCCAAAGAGCAGGCACTCCTATTTTGTTCACTAGTGTGACTCTCGGAAATGAGTCTGATCCCTTCAACTCTTGGCACAGAGGGAAGGAAGGACTCAGGGTCTGAGCAAAGACTACCCTGATTTCTTACAGAGCACCTGCGTGAGAAGGGAAAGGGTCTGGCTATCTTTGGAGGAGAAGAGCCAGGTTGAGGGTGAGGTTGGAGAAACAACATTTCTTGGCTGGCATTTGACCCATAAAAACCAGATGAATCTGTTTCCAGAGATTCTTTGGGCTGGCCAGTCTGTGAGGGGTAATAGGAAGGATGTGGTTAATGGGCCCTGCTGAGTGTGGGGGGCAGGGGTCACAGCTGGGCCCACTAGGGTTCCTGTTTGCCTTTGATTCCATCTGGGTAGGGCGGGAGCGGCCCCCAGCCCCCTGGGG